GTTGTCGTAATTCCAGAGATATATATAGCAGTCGATGGCGACCCACGCCCTCCCGATCTCCGGCATGATTCCCATCTCACAGTTCTGTTGTATGTCTTGTGGTCAACAATAAACACATTAACCATTCGTTTCAATCACTGTAATGACAAACACTTACGAGAGAACTGTTCGAGTAATCCCTTCGGCAGAGGAATGGTCTGCAAAGTCGTGAATTGTGGTAATGATAACGACTGACCACTGCTTCCCATTTCGTTCAGATTGGGATAATCGTTGTCTTGAAGGCCAGAAACAGATGGATATCCTGAAAAACCAATTAATTCATACAAATTAGTAATGAATCAAATGAATGGCAAACAACTGATGCATACTTTGAGTGACTTTCAGTGTGTCCAACATCTGCGGGAACATTGAGTCCGAGTTGAGGAACTGATCCACACTATTGGCCACACCTTCGTAGACATTGGCAGCAGACATGTCGGTGCGGGAGCTCATCATCGATGCCATGGGCTGTCCGGTCAGTGGGTCCACAGCCGGCACTACTATAGTCATGGTCTACAAGAGTGTCAATCAATTTACTGTCAATTGTTCGCACTTTCGGTCACAAGTGTTACGTTTGGATGCCTTTGCGATTAGACTTCAATCACATGGCAATCAATGCTTCAAATGATCACTAAATGTCTGTCGATATGTATGGTATGACTGAGTAAGCAGTGAATCACACCTTCAGTCGACTAATGATATCAAATTGAATTCAATTACGGATCAAATGCTACGAAAAGCGCCAAAACATGGCATTGAATGGACCGGCAGTTCAATGAATGCTTGCATCCAATGGACAGCATATTTATAGCAATAATTACGTCAATACTGTATATATTTTGCATACATTATCATTATGATCAGTTTATTTGAATTAAAACTTTTAATTTAACGTCAATTCATTTAAAATTGAGTAAAATATTGTTGTGTAAGGAATTGGCATATATAATATTTGTATTCAAACCTAATATGTGTGCCCTCACTAACACACATCTCACTATTAATACATTCACTGTATATTCTTACCAAAATTTGTCTCAAATTCACCAAGGTACTTTTCAATATTTATTATATGGCACTGTAATTGTTAATAAATATTAATCTGATAATGGATTAAAATTGATAGTAATTAACAATATGTTGTTAAAAAATTGTAAATTCTAAGAGTAATTGTGAACCAAAACATTTAAATCAATTGATTCCGTCTATTAGTATTAGAGTTGGATTTAATTCATTTGAATCATTGTTGTAAACCTTATACCGGTATTCAATTTAATATTGTGGTTATTTCTTTCATTTTTATATTACTGTAATTATAAATTTTTTCAAATACAGTTTATTTAATACATCAATTATTGCAAATCTTTATTATTCTTGCATTTTCAATTTTATATCATTAACATTGGGTAATAAATTTCAAAAATTGAATCACCAAAATAAATCTCATTCTTATAATAAACTTCAATTTTCAAACTTAATCTCACTATTACTGGTATATATTACTTACATTGAATTCTTGTTTATCTAAAGACACGTCACTTTTATTTGATCCATATTTTGATGATTCAACTGAAAGGTTCTCTTTTTCGTTGACCACTCTCTCACTCGATGGTTGGTTTTGAGTGATCTTTGTGTCTGATATCAGGTCTGAACTTTGAATGAGATCTGCAATCAAATGATAATCAAATCCAATATGAAGACCAGAATGGCTAATAATTACCACTCGTTTGTTGAATGTCTTGAGTTTGAGTATTAATGTTGGCATCAATAGTGTCCACCACTTGTGCTTTAGATGTATGTCCGCCATCGAAGTCCATCTCTTCATCTGCGCTCTCGAACTCATCATCTGATCCATCAGTTGAAGACATTGTCGTCAAATAGGTCTACAGTTAACACAAATCAATCAAATGAAAGGCAATAATCAGTGAATGAATGAAATGTTTTGTCATATGTTTTGTATGTTTTCATTGAAATGAGGACTTTATGTGTTGACATCTGTTGTCTCTCTCACTAAACACTACATTTGACCCGAATTTACAGTAAACTGTAAAATCATAGAAGAATAGACTGTATTTGTGTTAAATTGTTCATTTATTTGTCCTGGTTAAGGTTGGCATTTTCAGTAAAATTTATTTTTCGTCAAATATTTAAATTATAGGTGAAATTTATTTTTAATGTATAAAAGCATTGGATTTACACATCAATAAATGCAATATCAGAATCAGAGTCATATTCTGAGTCAAGATCACTATTACTATTATCAGGGTCATAAGAATCGGAAAAATTATTATTCTGTATATTAGTTGTCTTATAAAACGATTGAACGGCAACTAATTGTTCAAGTGAAATTTCCACCCTAAATGAAATTTATTGAAATTTATTTTCAAGTAAAATATTTCCAAATATTTAACTTTCGAAGTTAAATTTATCAAATATTTCACCATGGCAAACCTTAGTCCTGGTACTTTAATCACCAATGATCTCAAATTGGAGTCATATTTTCATTTTATATTACTTACGATTATTCTTTTTAAATATTTTTGAAAGCTTAATGCAATACAAATAGTAGCTTGATAACAGTTTAGTACCTAGGAGAGTTATTTTGGAACTACAGATCTAACGACTCTGAAATGTTGTATGAGACCCTGATCATCAAAATCGATCAGTTATTGGATGAAAATTCTCAATATTAAGTAATTTGGTTTTAAATTTGGTGTCAATTACAATACTACTAAAACGACTTTAAGTAATACTACTATTTCACTTTTATAGGTATAGTTTTTAATAGATACTTTGGCAACAATTTGTTAGAAACTTTAGAAATTGTTTTATTATTAGAAATTGAGTGAATTGACTCATAAACAAGTTTTAGACATTTATTTATTGTTTTATTGATTAATAATTAATATAAAAATCATTTAAAATAGTTAAAGAATTAGAGTTAAGACTAATATAATGTAAAACTCAATCAAATGATGCATCGCTCGACTTTGGCTTTGATTGCTTTGAAGTCGAATAAAAGACTTCTGACGGCTCTGTCTTCGGTGTCCATCGTTTGCAAATCAAGTAAATAACCGGACAATACATCCAGACTTTTGGTGCAAAAAAGGCGTCTATTTGAAGATAGTTCAAGATATTCATGTATTAACCATTGAATAGATCAATATTAATGAATACAAACCTTTCAGAATAAGAAACCAAAGACTGGTTGAGTGTATATAAATTGATGACAACCGCCAGAACTCGGAGTAAATGTATTTGTTTTCGTGGCCAAGAAGTGGACAGTTCTCGTGATTTATAGAGTTTATGGTAGAGATCGAGTAAATCCGTTAAATTAACGCCCATTTCCAGCAGACTCTCAATAAGCCATTGGGACTCAAACTCAAAATTCTGAGTCTTTGTCTCCAAGTGTTTGATAATAAATTCTGCTTGATATAAACAATTGGCAATCAATTTGAATTCATACCGGTATTAATATAAAGCAAAAGTACAAACCGAGGGGAAAATATTTCTCAGAACCCAAGTAAATGCTTCCCAAATGTTTAATTTTGGCGCAAAGTATGCTCTTCTGCGCCTCCGAAGCCATTGAACTAACGGCGCGTAATTCGTTATCAATAATATTCCTCCAAATGGTTTCAATGAGGTTTGGGTCGTGATGTCCGGCGCAGTGAAGTATAGCTAATTGACATTCGGCTAAATTGAATCGTTCGGCATATTCTTCATACAGTTGTGTGATATCAAGTAAATCACAGTTTAAGGCATTGATGGCCTCCTGAGTGGGCATAGACTCGGATAACTTGTGAAGGTTTTCAAGAATGTTGAGTTGAATGCGCGACACTTCCATCTTCTCCTCCAACTCGTGTAAGAACTCTCCGGCAGCCGATTGGTTGTTGTCTCCAAAGAGAGCCGTCGGACGCGAGTCTGAACTCTTCATACAGACTATAGCTCTGGAAAGGTATTCAATACGTTTGTAAAGATTGACATCAGCACTGCGTCTTTCAGCCAATTTAGTCAATATCTGAGCGGCAGCTCTGAAGTGACCGTTCCTTTCGTAGTACATCCAAAGCAAATCCATTAAAGCGATTGAGTCGGAAAAGGCAGACGTCTTGCGTTTCAGATAACTCTCTAAATACGGAGACTTAATCTCAAGGAGTCGGTCGCTGTGTTGGTGTTCATAGAGCCAGTTGTATAGAGCGATGTGAAAGAGTTCGTCGTTGCAAGCGATGGCATGTCTTAACATATCGTCCGACCGTTTCTGAGCATCTTCTAAAGAGAGCACATTTACTGTCGACTCGTCTGCTCGAGGATTAAGCAACGATTTGCTCTGTTGTACGAGTCGTTCGTAAACTTCAAGCAATAGTTTATAGCATTCATTACGAGTGCTGAACACATAGTATCCGATTTGATCCTCAATTTGCTCCCCATTTCGATAGTAATGAAGCGCTAAGTTCTGCGGATCGCGGTTTAGGGCTGTCAGTAGACATATGTCTACAATCGCTTCATACCATTGAACCGATTGAAATAACTCACAGATGGCCGGGAGGTTAATGCGGGCGCCGATCTTTTTGCACAAATTCAACGCATACTCTAATTGTGACGCTCTGTCCGTCGGGTTTGCTATGAACTTGGCTTTCGTCACCAACTCGTGCGCCTTCGCGTGCAATGCGTTTTCATTTTTATAAATCGATGGACAAACCTCTTGAAGACGTCTATTAATGATATCAGTGGTAGAGTTGTCTTCAATAAACCTGCGAACCAGAGCACTGGCCAACAGAGTAGTCATTTCGATGCCATAAACGACAAGTTCTCTAAATGTCAGTCCAATCAATTGATTTTGCTTTTCGATGGGAAGCACAGCAGTGATGGCGTGGAACTGATGATCACATAATAGCTTCCAGAGACCCAACACTTCAATGCAGTGCTCTATGAGTCTAAGCAACAAATGCAATGAATGTCTTTCGTTGGCGTAGACATCGCTTCCGCGGAATAAACCCTTTCTGTTGTCGTTCTCAGCGTTCGGCGAAAACTTCATATTATTCTTAAGAAAATCTCGTAATTCTGTTAACCGATTGTCGTATAACTTAATTTCATTCAACGTTATGCTGGAAACCAAGAAATCTTTTTGCCCGTCAGTAGTGATAGTCCTCTGAGAGGAAACACACTTTAGGTTCCAAACGGGACGTATGATTCGCGAGAAATATAGGTAAACGCCGTTATGTTTACTTGAAAACTGAATGCTCACAACATTGGGGTCGCCAGTCATCATAGGCTCGCTACGAGACACAGGAGACGACATGTCTGGTGGACTCAAGTAAGTCATTGGCATTGATTGCGGTTGTATTGGCGATGAAGGGGTCGAAAACAAGGGCTGATTGGTTGCTGAAACGGGTGTCGAAACGTGTTGTATTGAGCGGTCAAAGCCAGGACTGGTGTGCAGTGGAAATGACTGCCTAGAAATTGGTTGAATTGGATGAGTAGTCATCTGTTGAGGATCACCACCGAAGTGGAAGAAGGCAGAGGTGGCCCACTCCTTGATCTTTGCCTCCTGAGCTGATTTGGAAGCACAGGCCAGTATAAGAGCGATGGCACAGCCCTGAGCGCCAGAGTGTAAGGCAAAGAACGATCTGACGGACTCGTTATCATAGCCCTGATTATTGTGCAAAAGTTGGGACAATTGGTCAACAATTCTGGGCTTAAATCCGATGTGAATGCCCTGAGAAGTCAAGAATATGAACTTTCGGGGCTCTTCTATGTGTTGAGTCACTAATAGAGGCGACTCTATTGGCACCACTTTGTTGTTCTTCAGTGCATAAGAATGATATGGTTTATGAGGAATGGTTTTAATCTCTTCAGCAATTCTCCATATTTTGCTGTTTAGATGAGAGACTGAGAAGAGTTCCATAAGTTCCTGACTGAACGCAAATGAGTCGTTGCTTATGGCCCACAAGAGGTCTTTGTTTTCCATCTGCGATGAGACCATCAGAAGAGTGCCTCTCTTGAAGTGCGCGCAGTGGACAGCCGTCGGTCGCTGTGATGGAGACGATGCCGTAAATCCAGGCGGAAGTCTCACGTGAATCAGAGTCAGTGAATTGGGACGATATTCTGGTGTTTGTATAGAAGTGGTCGTAAAGTAGAGCCGAACGCCTGCTTTGGTCACTGCTATGAGGTTTATATGAATGGATTCACTCTCTTCGACAGCACTGATCGACACAATTGGCTTGAAGTTCAACTGATCTATGGTTTGGGCGGCAGTGGACGCCTCGTTCACAATGGCATTCAATGTCTTTGAAATGACTCTATAAGTGCTTTTGCCGTCTGAACCCAAATCAAACACATCAATGGTTCCGCTTCTGGTGAGCGTATAAAGTATATGTCTTTTCTCGTCGATTTCCATCTGAATTACTTCGTCTAAAAGAACCCCAATTAGTCTCACCAGTCATTCAAATGATATAATAATTCATACCTTCTTTAGAAGCATTAAAAAACGACGGAAACAAAAATGAGATAACACTCGAGGAATGGTTCACTTTTTTGCATTTACGGCCAAACCATCCGTCTTCGGCCTGATATATCACTTCATAAACATAGCCATCTTTGCCGCCGAGGAATATACGGCCGTCCAGTGAACCTCTGATTACATTCATCACAACATTATCGGTGGAAACCCTAAAGATAGGGTCGGGAACTAAGAGGAGATCCCCTTCCGAGCCGTCTTCACTGGTGCTAAAAGTGATTCCAAGCAATAGTATCTCAACGGCTGTCGTCAGAATCAACAGGTATTTGATGTGTGGCTTAAAAACGCCTTCTTTTGGTTTAACTAATCCGACGCTAAGAATGGTTTCACTCAACCCATCATAATATGCGACATCACTTCCGTTGTCGTAATTCCAGAGATATATATAGCAGTCGATGGCGACCCACGCCCTCCCGATCTCCGGCATGATTCCCATCTCACAGTTCTGTTGTATGTCTTGTGGTCAACAATAAACACATTAACCATTC